GGGCAAAAGCAATTACTTCAAAAAGTGCAATAGAAGTAGCTAGTTGTTTATTTGAAATTTTTACAGAAGTTGGATCTCCTACTATATTGCAATCTGATAATGGCAAAGAATTTACAGCAAATGTAATTTTAAATCTTATGTCATTATGGCTAAATATTAAAATTATAAATGGTAGACCTAGACATCCACAATCACAAGGAAGTGTTGAATGAGTAAATAGTATTTTAGCACGAAAATTATGTGTTTTAATGGAACAAAATCAATCAATTAAATGGGTAGTAGCGTTAAAATTATCTTTATGGAGTATGAATAATTCTACTTGTAGATCTACTGGAAAAACTCCGTACGAATTAGTTTATGGACAAGAAAGTTTATTTATGCAATAATTTAGTGTTACCTATTAATTCAAACTATGAATACTAACGTAGGGTAGCACAATATATTAGCTAAAAAAGGAAGTCAACAATTCAACGCACGGGATATCATTTCGGACATTAGCATGTGAAGGAGGATCACATGAGGATTTTGTATTTTATTTATTTTATTGTTTCCTAAAAAAAGTAACTATGAAAATTTGAAAGTTTTAACACATGCATTATAACATTACTCGGGAGAATTAACTGCGTCCTCTGAAAGTATTTAATAAATTATGCCAACCCGTCTATCAACGCGATTAAGGGAATTTCGTGACGAAGCTTTTGGTAGGATAATTCATTATAAAAGACTGTGTTTACTTTGTATTAATATAAAATTTGAATTCTGTATTTTGATTAATAAATTCTTGTTTTTTCTATTTCTTGCCTTGAACTTCCTTGTTACAAATAGCTAAAATGATGCACATTCGTCCGATTTGCAGAATATTGTTATTTTAATAAACTTAAAATTAATGATATTTTTACCTCATAACCAACAACTATTGTTTTTACGACGATAATGAATAAAACCATTTGAATGTGTGATATTTTCTGCCAAGTAGTATACTATTTTTTTTTTACCCAGTAAATATAATATAGTATATTGTCTTGAAAAGTAATTTTTCGAAGTTCTGAATATACTTTCTTAGGAATAGTGTCATTAATTTCCATAATTTGGATTTATCAATAACAACTTTTACTTTCGTGTTCTTAATTTCCTGTTTTTTCACGCCCTGAGGTTGGAAAAATCAGTCGGCCAATAAAGAAATTTTTCTTTAATTGTAAAATAATATTTCCTTCTGAGAATAACTTTTATAGCAGATTTGCTTTCTCAAACAAGACGAAAAAATGTGATAGGTGTGGAATAATCTACATCGTGAACATTTAGGGCGTTTTTTAACGGTTTCCGTTGGACTTATTGTTGAAAACAAAGGTTGATTGGACAGATATAATAATCATCGAAAAATCTCTTCTCATTATCCTCATTCTCACAATGCCAATAAACAACCTGGAAGAAAAGTTTAGAACTAACAAAAGAAAACATTACTAGAATTTAATAGGAGAATTAGTATAGCAGGAGAGAGTACAATAGCGGAAGTTAATAAAATAGAAATTATTTATTTCAGTTGAGATTCACTTGAAATAACCAAAATTTTCGTGGAGATAAATGAAGGCTTAACATTTATGTCAGTATGTCAGTTTAATTAAGGGAGACTTTGTTGTGTATGAGATAACTGGAAATAGAAGCAATCAACTTAATGTCGGCGCAAAATATAACATTACCGTTGGTAAAAATAGTGAGTACCGCAGTTATACTTAACGTTTCACCACCTGGACCTGAGTTATATCAGCCAAGAATGATTGTAGAAGTGAAAAATCCGAGAAACTCGAAAGTTTGTATATTCTTGCGGAAGAATACTTTTCTGCTTCGATACAAATAAAATTTATTGAAATTTATCTTGCAATAAATATATTTATTTCATCATCGGTATCAGTTTAAAATTGTCAACTCGAGTCATTTCTGGAACCAATGATAAATTTAACTGATTCTGAATCTTCTGAGTTTGGAACTATATTTAATAATTATTTAATATGGAATTGGAATTGACTATGGAACCGACTCTGGTACCGACGCTCAAATCAGTTTTATCATCAAATTATGACGATCACAATCAACCATCATTGGATGACCAATCAAAAATTTTCTATGTCATATGGCACTGTGCAATGCTCTGCTCGTGATACTTTATCTTTATAATATTATTCCGCATGAAAGTATATTTGCCTACTCACATCATAATGTCGTTGCGTTGTGTGTATAGCAACAAGTAACAAACTCTTTAATGGCATTCCAAACACCAAATCGTTTCAAGATAGAACTGGGAAGATTTATTACATGTGCAATACATTTTACATTTAAGTTATATTTATATTTTGAAGTTATTATAACCTGAACTGCTTGAACAATAGCTCCAGCATCTGTAACAATAGCAGAAAACTTATTTGCTCCAATTGCATTAATTATTTGTTCCATTTCTTCAGCTAAAAGTTTTTTTTAATATTTTAGAGTACTGGTACAATTTATTTTCACTTTTTATTTTCTAAAAATTAGGTAAAATTATATGGATGCAATAAAATTTTATTAAAACGGATTTTCAATTGCGAATTGAACACTAGAAAGTACATTGACAAATTTACAATTTTTTACTGTTCGATAATAAAAGAAAAAAAATTTTATTATGACATCACTAGAGGAAAATTCAGGATAGATATAAATTTAAATAACTATAACAGGTGATAAATAAATACAGTATAATGAAGTATAAATAATACAATACTTAATAATAAAGTATAACTAAAACTAAAATTATTAGACATGTTCATGTGGTAATTACTTTGGAACAAAATGAAAGGTTATTTAATTGTTTTGGGTTCTCAACGATTTTGAAAACCCGATAGGTTGGGCGAAATGAAAGGTTATTTAATTGTTTCATTGCCACAAGCCCCATCAATCCCGTATTAGAACGGGAACGGGTAAGAAACCCAGTATTTTGAAGACGTTCGTCGAGAAGTCTTCCAGTTCGACCATTTTAAACGGTATTCCGTAGAAATGTTGTCTTTTTTAGACAACCGTTTTTAAAGTTTTTTGAATATAGTTTAATTGAAGTTTTATTTTTTATAAAAAGATTTATTTTTAGATGTTTGGCCATTTTGATTACAAGGCAATTTTTTTTTTTAAAAAAAATAAAAGAAATTGGAAAATAAAGTCAGAAATACGCATATTTTTATACCTTTGATACGGAATAAATTTTATGATTTTGTGCTAAATAAAACAATGTACGTAATATAATTTGTGCGAAAACAAAATGCACAATATAATTTGTGTGATACACACGATGCAATGCAATATAATTTGCATAACAATATTAAGAACCCCTAAATGCATATTTAAAACTACATCACATGCAGTGGTATTCTACACGGTAAAACGGAATTGCCATATTTCCTTCTTTATAGAAAAATTAATGTTTTTGTAAAATGAATGTATCCACATATTGTTCGAATCGTTGTACCGCAATAATATTTGTTCTTGAGTTTTTTTTTATTGAAGAATATGAAATTTATTTTATTTTAAATATAATTTGTTATATAACATTAAATCGCAATACGTTTTGTCCATGATTAAAATTGAATTTGCCACAATTCGTGCCTAACGTCTTACTTGTATGTTAGAGGTACTAATTTCTTACTTGTGTATCGTAGTAAAAAAAATTAAAAAAATATGAATTAAGGTAAAACAAAGCACATATACATTTTGTACATTCATATCCCAACTTTGATAAATCATATCGCACATCAAACATATTTCACAACATAACATTTATAACGAATCGAGCGACTTGTGATAATTACCAATCGGCATTGGGTGATTTTTTAAAAATTTGTGTAACAAGGTAATAATACCCTACAAAAATTTTTTATATTTTAAAATAACTGTTACGTATTTTTTTTTAGTTGCAAATCGAAGGGAATATTCAATATTCACGCAATTTACTAATAATACGTACTTTTTATTTTTCAATGAGCAAGATAGAATGAAATTAGAAAATTTCCAAATTTCAATCCATTTCCAAAACATTTTTCAATTATACAATGTGTTAGATTACTATGGCACTGATAATTTTATACTGTTTAATACGTATCATTGGCGTTACGTTAGTTTGAAATGTTGTGGCATAAAACAACCAATCTAATACTTGTGAAGTGAGCCAACTGAAAGTTAAACATAAAGAAAAGGAAAGGCATCAATTCCAAAAAAAAACAATAAAGAAAATATTAGCCCCCGATAGACCTTCTATCATTCTTAAATTAATTTTTTTTTGTTATGTAAGATTTATAATAAAAAGTTACCTCCGACAATTCGGATGCGACTTCTATTATTATTTTTTTTTATAATAAATGCGACTTCGACAATTCTGATGAGACTTTTATTATTGTTTTTTATAATAAAAGTAAGATTCAAATAAAATAAATAAAAATAAATGAGTAAATTAATATTCGTTGTGCCTCGTTATCTGACATGAAACATTGGGGTGTGCTGTCAACTAATTAAATCAAAACTATATGTAGTACCATATAAAAATTTACTATTGAAGATTTTTTTGCATGTAAAAAAAATTTTAATTTTTTCGTCATACAACTACATTTATATTTACAAACTATCAGTTATTTTATCATAAATGCTATCAATAAATTATGTTTTAATAATTAATCATTTATCAAGAATTTGTTTAAGAACAGTTGATGCAGTATTAGGCCCAAATTGAACTTCTTGGAGTGGAGTTTTACTTGGTTTAGTTCTAAGTTTTCGTATATCTTTTAATCCATTGTTCAGATTTTCTTTTGCAATTTTACCTAACGAAAATCCTTGCGATTTTTCTTGGTTAAAGTTGGGGTCGGCCAAAAGAATTGAATTTTGAGCCGCTTTGACGTTCGTATAGATTGAAACTACATTTGCAGATTATTGGAAAAATGATTACGTGAAATTGTTCTAGTGTTTTAATAATTATTTTGTCAAATAATATTGAATTAAAATGCTAAAATGAAATTATATATTTCGTTCAATATGAATATGAGATAATACAAAGAAATGGACAATCGACCACCCAATGTGTTGTGTATCTGAGTTATAATTTTTTTAAAAAAGAATAATAAAAATGCCAAAAGCATAAAATTTATGTTTGGCTGACTGTCTTTACATTAAAATTTCAGACCATTTTTTTTTTCCATTATCGTTAAAGCTAGAAGTGATACACAACGATATGAGCAAATTTTTCGTAAAAAAAAAAATTTTTGTTATTTGTAATAAATTACTGATACTCAACTCATTTAAAAAAATATTATTTAATAAGGAAATGATTTTCAATCGTGCGAGATAAATTTGGGCTCTATTGAGGATTGACAAAAATTGTTCTTTTCACATTTCAAAAAAATCCATAAATAATGTCAGCTCAATTTTTTTCCAAATTAAGTCAAAATTATATCGAAACATTAAATGATGATGAATACTATGATATCACAATTGAAGTTGGAGAGGACCCAACCGTAAAAATATTCCGAGCGCATATGATTATTTTATGTTATCGTTCACCATTTTTTCG